CCCCCCCCCCCCCCCCCCCCCCCCCCCCCCCCCCCCCCCCCCCCCCCCCCCCCCCCCCCGCCGGCGCGGAGGTTAATTTATCGTTAACATACCGTTGGAATTTTTCAATGTTTCCCGAATTTTCTGAAGTCCAAAATTTTGGCTTCGAATCATGGCGTGGACAAGCAAATCACGGATCGCATTATACTCTTCGCCCTTTCCATCAGCGTTCGGGGTTTCCCCAAGTTTCTTCAGATGTTGTATGGGATATTCATATCCCGCCTCTTGCACCGTAATTTCTATCAAAGTAGGCTCCAGCTCTAGGAGTGCCTCTACCATATCCACTTTCCCCAGTGATACAGCTTTATGCAAGAAACTGCAGTCTGGGTCGGAAATGAATTCGCGGCGAGACTTCTCTGGAAACATATTCCACATCCCCGCAGTTCCCTTTTCGATGACAAATGCAGCGTGCGCTTTTGTGAGAAATTTTGAATCTTTTGACTCGAGTAGAAGACGAACAAAGTCTGGTGCTGGCGTTGTGACTGCAATTTCCCAGGTTTTCTCATCGATGAGACTTGAATTTTTGCTCACCATCATCTTGAGTATATCCATAACCCTAGCCACAACATCTGGTTGTAAAGAAGTAGAGGTATTGAGTAGTAGCTCTAGGAAATCCCTCATGTCGTTTTCCGCTGCCATCTTGCTTTCACAATTGACATCTTGCGATTGGGGTCCCTGCGGGTTGATTTTGGAATTTGCGCTGATATCGTTCTCAAAGCTATCCATGAGCTCATCCAGTACGATTTGCAACATGTAGTCGGATTTTGATGTCACTGCGAATTGGAACGCTGACGGATGATAAAAGTTGCCATTACCATCCAAGGATGGCTCGAATGCTATCTTCGGATGACGGTAGCATATGGCCTTTATGATCAAGCCTGCATGCTCTAATCGCTTGACAGTAGGTAGGGATTTTTTGGCTTTGCTATCATTCTTTACGAAGTCTCGTGTAACCTCGTAAAGTAATTGGATCCTCTGAGTTTGGGTTCGTATTGTTTCAGACTCGAACGTCAGAATATCTCTCAGTTGACTGAAAACGGCCGCTTTCGATTCTTCCGCGGCTGTCTCAGGAGCACGTTTCTCGTATCTCTCGATTCCCTCGCGGATTATATCGTATGTGCGATCCGCCTCCCAATCACTAATCAAAGCCTCCCAGTAGGGCCCGATACCCCGATGCCCGTCCTTGCTAATCATCTTTAGCAATGGAGGCGGCTGGATCTCTGATTGACTGGCGTTGACTAAGCTCATGGTGGAAGCGTCAGAAGTTTGATGCTGGGTTGTAAAATGGACCTGAAGATTAGAAGCGATTGTTGATCAGAAAGGAATTCTCGAAAACACACGTGTGTGTATGGAAGTTGGGATTGAAATGCAATGGAACTGAAAGAGCAACAAGATATATACCTTCTTTCTTCAGAAAGGCATTCTCGCCTAGAAATATTCTCTATAATATAAAATTGATCCGAGATATGAATGATACTCTCGTCATTATCAAAATCCTCTGGTCCATGTCCCGAAGGGCGGGAGATTGCAAGCAGCGGTGAGAGAATTCAATTTCCGCCGGTCGCCAAGAGGTGGTCCTTGTAAAACTTCGGAAAGAACCTTCACGAATCAAATCTTATCCCGTTATCATTTGTTCATGATCTTCTAACATGTACCTTGTTGTATTTACAGATACGAGCTGTTGTATAACAAGTTTGATATCGGTATAGTACACAGCACTCCATGATATATGAATACGAGGTAGTACAACAAGGTTAATATTATCATATCAGGAGGTACTTTGTTATATTTGCAAATACAAGTTGCTGTACAACAGGCTTGATATCGGCACAGCGCATAAGTACCTAGTAACTCTACCTAGTAATATATACAAATACGAGCTGTTGTACTACAGCGTAATTTCACACAGCGGGTCGAGATATTCTTGAGCGATTATCGGAGGTGCGGCAGGAAGATGTACCTCGCCTCTGTTACGGCGTGCCTACCAAAGGTCTGATAGTTTACTGTTTCCAATTTCAATAGTACTGAGAAAAAAGGTTGATGGTACCCCTTTAAACATCTCACGATTTCAAACCGTTCCCAACATCAGCTTGCGAGTGGGATATCAAAAGCATGGCTCAAAATTCCACTCTCAATTTTCCCATCAGAAATGTCATCTTCCGTGCGGATGACCACCTCTACGAAGAGCTAGAACCTGATTTCAGCGGTTCGCTCGGCGGTTTCAAAACCTTCAACCCCAAGGACGATCGATTCCAGCGATCAGCCATACATGTCTCTGCAAAAAAATCGAAATTCAAGAAGACGGTTGAGCTTATCCTCTGCTGCCATGGTTGGAAGAACCCCGATAAAGAGGTACCCATGACTCTGGTTGTCTTGGGTGTAAAGCTATCCTGCCACGACCGCGACTCTCGTTTCCAGTCGGTGAGGATCAGTCTTCAATTTGACGAAGACGACAAACGCGACCCAAGGGACGCCTTCGGGGCACGTCCTCAGGTGGTTGCTTACGCACCATTTGTACAGGATGAATACTGGAACATTACGGAAGCGAATGTTGCAGACACCAATGAATATGGAGGGAAATTGGGCATAGATCAGGTCGTTCAAGCAGAAGTCAGCGTGAACAGAAGTTCTGAGGTGTCATACACTCGGCGACACTTTGACAGGGGAACCGCATATCGCCTTCATGACCAGCATACTGGGAGATTCAATGGCGTTGAGTGGTATTGTGAGCAAAACAAGCAACAAAATTACGGTGTTATGCCCAACTTCCACTTGGCAATCCTCGTCGAGCGATCACGCTTTCACGGTAAAGCCATTTCTTTCAAAGCCGAATTCGACATGCGGGCTGAAGCCGGCTTCAGGCATGACTTTGCACAAGGCCTGCGCCGTACTTTTAGGCTTCTGAGACCCGAGGACGACCCTGTGTATTTTGATCCCTCCAAGGAGAAACCTGACGTCAACGGGGTTGGTGGAGTGGGTGAGAAGCTATTGAAGAACATCGACATAGATAATCTAGGGGCTCTTGCGGAGGGGCAGTTGTTGACCAAGCTGATTAATTCCGCTGAGGGTGTGCTGCCAGGATTTGAGCCGATGGCGACATTGGAGTAAGGGGTCGACTCTTATTATTAGACAGCTGATAGAGGCACTTGCCGTATTTCAAAACATCAATGCATTGAACCAATCCTTTGCAGCAGCTGGACAAGATCGAAAGTCAGGAGATGTAGGGTATCAGAATCACATGTTAGGAACTGGGCGAGTGCCTGAGACTGTTTGCTTGGTACAGTGAATGTTGACAGTACCTAACAAACAGTTAGAATGCAGATCGTTTAAACATCAAGCTAAAGTAGAGAATACCTTACGCCACAGCAGAATTCCAATCCCCTTGACAGGTATGCAATACTGCAGCTTCATACGAGGCTTACCACCTAATTAAAGGCACACCGTCACAGCACTAAAGTGCAGCTCCCAGCAGGTAAAGGGACCAGCGACACTCACTAAAAGCACGGGGGTCAGCCTTGGGGTCAATGTTAGGTGAGCAACTCAATTCAGCGACTCCACCACCGTGGACAAAGTTGCCATCGCCGTCTTCATCCTCATCCTCAACCGCTATTCTTTCTGTATTTATACCCCCCATATCGTTTCCCACTATATCATTCAACAGCAAAAAATTCTTGCCATCTCTACAAGGACACAGCAGCACCCTTTGCCTCCATCAACAGCATCGATCGAGACAAAATCGACATCCCCCCCACCGTCTAGATCCCGGCCCATGCCATAGGGCACCGCTCCAGCATGAGCATCCGCCATGCCCCTGCCAGCGCTGCTCTCTTCCAGCGATAGATCGTCTTCCTTCGGCTCGTCCTCCAGCAAGGCGCGCTCCGTCCCGGCCGTCGACGGCGACATCCCGCCCGAGTACATCCACGACGAGGCCCAGCTGCCATGCATCCCGCCCGAACGACCGGACCTGCGCGAGCTCAACTGCGGCCTCGAGGCCCTGGCGGCCGTGTTCCCTGATATCCAGATCGAGGTCTTTCGGGAGCTGCTGGGCAACTTTGACGGCGAATCGAGGCTCGCCCTGGTGGCCGATGCTCTGCTGAAGAACCGTGCAGTATGGGTCAAGGGCAGGTGGAAGGTTGCCGGGCCCGAGAGCCACAACAGACTGCAGGCTGGGAACGACGACAGGGACAAGGACAAGGACAAGGAGGAGGCGGATGTCGATGGCCCCGGCCATCGGCTGGTGCCGAGAGCAGAAATATTCCGAAGCAACGAGTACAAGAAGGCGGTCCAAGCGCTTGCGTGGCAGGAGTTTAAAGGCCTGTCCAAGTCGACCATCAATGCGGTCCTTGCCGAGTCCAACTACTCCTATCTGGACGCTCGGAGGACTCTCGTGACGCTGTCATCTAAATCATGGCGCTTCACCATCTCGTCCATCTTCATGAGACGGAAGCCTGTGGCCACGGGCGAGGCAGACAACCATCCTCTTGTCCGCTGGCGCACGACTGGCCATGGCTCTAGCATACCTACGGTGCGGTCTACGGGCAACGCCGAGCTTGATCGAGAGCTATACGATGCGCTCGTCCGCCCACTGAAAGAAAAGGATAGAGAAGAGCGGGAGGTTAAGGACCGCGCGGCCGCTGTGCTGCTAAACAACGAGGAGGCCGAAGAGGCGGGCGCCATTCACGAGTGCACGTGCTGCTTCACCACGGGCGCCTTTGAGGAGTTTACGCACTGCAACAAGGACGCACACATGATTTGCTTCCGCTGCGTCCAGCACTCCATCAAGGAGGCCGTCTTTGGGCAGGGCTGGCTGAGCAGCATCATCCCCGAGACGGGAACGCTGAAGTGCATGGCCGTCGACCGCGACCAGTGTCCCGGCCATGTCTCATATGAACACATGCGCAGGGCCATGCTGGAGGAGAAGAAGGGCGCCGAGATTCTACATCAACTAGACCAGCGCCTTGCAGAGCACGCCTTGCTTGCCGCAAAACTACCACTGGTACACTGTCCGTTCTGCAACTATGCAGAGATTGACGACATATACTTGCCGCATCAAAGGTCAAAGATGCGGATTCGTGTTACTGGCGTTCTTCACCTGGTGTTTCTCTTCTTTTGCGTCGTCTGCGTCGTCCTCGTCCTTCCCCTGGCTGCGATATCTCTTATTACCGCTTTGGCATTCACCTCTTGGACATCTTTTTGGAAGCAAATATCGTCGGAATGGAAGCTCGCCGTCGCAAGGCATTCTCGACGCCGACGAGGTCTCCAATTCTCTTGCCAAAACCCCGAGTGTGGCCGAGTGTCCTGTCTCTCGTGCAGCAAAGTTTGGACAGATATCCATGTCTGCAACGAGTCATCTCTAGTTGCGCTGCGAACGCAGGTCGAGCAGGCCATGAGCATGGCCATCAAACGAGTCTGCCCTCGGTGCAACACGTCGTTTGTCAAGAATGCAGGCTGCAACAAGCTCACCTGTCCCTGCGGCTACAAGATGTGCTACGTTTGCCGTGCCGACCTCACCGAGGAAGGGTACCGCCACTTTTGTGACCACTTCCGGCCCGACGGCGATCCTAGACCATGCCTCGAGTGTGAGAGGTGCAACTTGTGGGAATCAGAAAATGTCGACCAAGTGCTGCAGGAGGCCCGCGAAGAAGCGGAGCGAAAGTGGAAAGACACGGAGAAGAGGGACCTGTCCGGGCCGGAGAAGGCCTTTCTGGAGACGGGCATCGCGGCGCGGGCTACGGGCATGGGCAGCGTGGAGCAGATCCTGGTGGCGGGACGGTTGCCTTCTCTGGGGGAAGTTTTGGACATTGTGGTTGAGACGATCTTGGTGTGAGCGAGATGGGGAGGGCAATCTCGGTTGGGGTTTGTGAGCATTTGCTAGAGAATGAGCTGCTCGGGCTGCAGTTCTGGCATATCTCTCACTCTCTCCTCCTTGCCATTCCAACTTGAGAAACATCCCTGCGCGGCGTCATGTGGACTATCAAAGATTGGCATGCATGATCCATGATTATATGCGCTCCTGGCAGCGCTCTTGGCCAGTTTGGATATTTTCCATCAAGACGGGCTCGACTTAGACCTGCCTACGTTTCTCATCATTTCCTTTGTCTTTATCAAGAGCGTGGCCAAGTACTCATCCAACTCTTCGACTGCTTCGGAAGAAACAGTACGACGAGGATAGATGTCGGCTGTCTTGTTTTCCCTTAATTCTTCAACTCTTCTCTTTGCATATATGTTTCCTTTTACGGTTAGGCATTGGGAATTTGTCTTTTTCATGAGCTTGTTTTTTTTTTCTATTTTACGAGGGGCTGAGCGTCGTCGATTCATGAAAATGTAAAGGGCGGGATAATAACTTGACGAATGGATGGATGGATGCATAGAAAACTCCTTTTGACACATGAATTTAAACAAATCGTCGACATGAAAGTATTGCATCCTAGCCTCTTAACACACATGAAACATTAAAATATATAGTATACATTCATCAAACTTCTTCTTCTTCATCATCACAGCTCTCACGCAAGTTCAGCAGCAGCTCCCGCAATCGCCAACTTGCCCGTCTCCTTCACCTTGCTCTGAAACACAACCTTGCCTCCCTCCCTCCACATCTCCGTCACAATCGTCTGCCCCGGAATCACCGGCCCCGCAAACCTCACCTTGATGTTCTTGATCGCGCCGAACTTGTCGTACACGGCCTTGCCAGCAACACCAAACGTGCACAGGCCGTGCAGGATGGGCGCCTTGAAGCCTCCCATCTTAGCAAACCCAGGATCGATATGCAGCGGGTTGTAATCGCCGCTCAGACGGTAAATCGCCGCCTGATCCTCCCCCGTGGCCTCCTCGACGACGACATCCGGCGCCCGCTTGGGAGGCTCATTCGCCGCCGTCGCAGGACCCCTATCCTGGCCCTTTTTCGCGCCGCCAAACCCTCCCGCGCCGCGCAAAAACACAGTCATTTCATTGTAAAACACGTCCTCGCCAGTCTCGGCGTTGACAGTAGTGATGCCCGTTTTCACGACGGAGGCGGAGCCCTTGTCGACGACCTCGAGCAGTTTGCCGCGGGAATGCAGGCGGCCGGCGGTGGGGATGGGGAACTTGCGGATCTCGAGGAACTGCTCGCCGTGGAGGAGCATCATGGGCGAGAAGTTTGGCACGATGGTGTCGAAGTCAAAGGGCATTTCTGCGCTGAAAGCTGGGATGACGCCGAATGTGGGGAGGACTTGGAAGTCTTCTGCGCCCTCACTGTTTTTTTTTTGTAAAACTTCGTGTTAGACATGTCCTTTTCCAACAAATTGGAGGGATATTGATGAAGTTGAAGATGTAGCTCATGAGAACGTAGTGAGATAAGGGGCATTCAGGGGTCCATCACGGCTTACAAGACATATTTCAGCTCCTTGCTCTTGGCGCCAACACCGAGATTGTACAGAATGGCATCACGCTCCGTCAAGTTGTACTCGGTAGGACTACCCTCCTTGTTGAGAGCCTCAGCAATGGCGGCGAGATGTTCATTGGTAGGGGCGGCAGCAGAACCACCCTCGCTCTAAGAGCAGAGAAAAAACACACACACAAATTAGCCACGGGTCATTCAATGTGAAACGTGAAAATTCTTGTTCTCTTTCTTTCCAATAGCATTTCTTTCATCTTTAGGGAACTAATCCAATATGTACAGGGCTTTGATAGGTTCGTGGTGGTGATACAAAAGTCTTCTTCCAAATGTTGACATGCCAGATGGAGAGACGAGCAAATAGTAGGAAAACATAAAAAAAAGAAGAAGAAGAAGAAAAATCATTTAACATCATGTACTTGACGTTTCTCATACCTTGTTCTCCATGTTGGCCATGATCTTCTCCAGGCCGTCCTGAGCCTTCTCGGGATGATCCGCACGGCCATCGTCAAAGTTGACAATCTTCTCCCACTGCTTGACGACCTCCTCAGGCACCAGAGGCACGTTGATGGGGAAGCCGTGGCCACCGGTTCGCTGCCATCGAGTCTTGCCGACCCAGCCGCTGCCGACCTCGTACAGGCCGCCAGTGGGGTTGGGGCACTTGTCGCTGCTGAGGGCGAGGACAAGGGGAGCAATGTAGTCGGGCTTGAAGGCGTCGACCATCTCCTTGGGCATGATGGTGGCGGTCATGGCAGTGCCAGCGTTGGGGGCAATGGTGTTGACGTAGATGCCGTACTTGAAGCCCTCGAGGGCCAGAGCGCGGGAGAAGCCAAGAATACCGCATTTCTGTGATGTATGTTAGACTTGTTAAGACACATGAATCAAGGGGGGGAATCTTACAGCAGCGGCATAGTTGGCCTGGCCAAAGTTGCCGTAGATACCAGAGGTGGAGGTGGTGTTGATAACACGGCCATACTTTTGCTTGAGGAAGTAGGGCCAAGCAGCCTTGGTGACCTTGTAGGTACCGCGCAGGTGCACGTTCATGACGGGGTTCCACAGGCCGTCGTCCATGTTGGTAAAGGCCTTGTCGCGGAGGATGCCGGCGTTGTTGACGACAATGTCGACACGGCCAAAGGCGTCAATGGCGCCCTTGACGACGGCATCACCGTCCTCGGCAGAGGCCTTGACGCCGACAGCCTTGCCGCCGAGCTTCTTGATCTCCTCGACGGTGGTGTCGGGGTTGACGAGATCGTTGACGACGACGGAGGCGCCGTGCTTGGCAAAGGCCAGAGCATAGGCACGTCCGATACCGGCACCGGCGCCAGTGATGAGAGCAACGCGGCCGGTGAAGTCGAGCTTCTCGCCCTTGTCGCTGGGGCCCATCTTCATGGAGTCCTCCAGCAGGGTCAAGAAGTCGTTGGGGCCAGAGGGGTACTGAGGGTTGGAGAAGTCAATGACCTTGTTCCACTGCTTCAAGATGGCGCCGGGGGTGTACGAGTCGTCGGCCTTGAGGAGCAGACCGCTGGATCTCTCCCATCGCAGCTTGGCGATGTGACCGGCACCGGCCTCGAAGATGCTGCCGTTCTCGGTATTGTTGGAGTGAACGAGCACGGCAACGAGCGGCACAATCCACTCGGGGCCGAGAGCCTTGAGAACATCGGGGGGCATGATGGTCTCGGTCATGCGGCTAGCAGCTATTTGTCACGCTCGAGTTAGCCCATCAGCTCAGAAACGAAAGCTGCATTCAGCCTCGGAAAAGGCACATACCAATGGGAGCAATGACGTTGGACAGGATGTTGTACTTGGCGCCCTCCTTGGCCAGCGTCTCGGTGAAGCCAACCATGGCGAGCTTGGCAGCAGAGTAGTTGGTCTGGCCGAAGCTGCCAAACAGACCGGCGGCCGAGGCGGTGTTGATGACTCGGCCGTACTTTTGCTTGCGGAAGTGAGGCCAGGCGGCGCGGGAGCACTTGTAGGCGCCCGTGACGTGGACCTTGATGATGAGGTCCCAGTCCTCGTCCTTGAGGTTCTTGAAGGCAATGTCGCGCAGGATGCCGGCATTGTTGATGAGGATGTCGATGCGGCCAAAGGCCTTGATGGCCGTCTCGATGATGCGCTCGCCGAACTCGACGCTGTCGTAGTTGGCAACGGCCTTGCCGCCGGCCTTGACGATTTCGTCGACGACGACATCAGCAGCCTGCGGAGGAGGCGGTTAGCTATTTCGATTCGATTGAAGAAGAAGAACAAGGGCATCCATTCACCGACCTTTGTAGAGGTTCCCTCGCCCTTGAAGGTGCCGCCCAGGTCGTTGACGACCACGCTGGCGCCTCGAGAGCCGAAGAAGGTGGCATAGGCCTTGCCCAGACCACCGCCAGCTCCGGTGATGACCACGACCTGGCCGTCGTATCTCAGTTGCTCAGCCATGACGTCGGCAAGTTGCTGTGTGTGTGTGTGTGTGTCTGTGATGGGAGAGTGACGCTGAAGCGGAATACGACGTCAAGACACAAGAACAAACCAAGTGTCAAAGGGAGAAGAAGAGGAGGAGAAGAAGAGGAGGGGTATCTAGATGGTGCACAGAGAGGAATTCAATCAAGAGAAAGAAGGAAGAAGAAGACGGTGTCACGCTCGTCGACTTTTTTAAAGTGATGCGGACGGACCGGGTTTGGACAAGCAAAAGGTGTCGATGCCTCGGCTTGAGCTGGGGCGGGTACTGCGTCGGTACCGCTTGTGTGCCACTTGTTGTACCGCGACTTGGACCGAGTTTAGAGGGTTTAGAGGCCGGGGAGGGCGCTAGGCTGGAAGCGGAGAAGCAGGGAGTGTTTATGTCTATTCACATGCTTTTTTGGAGGAAATCTGCTGTGCATAACACGGAGACCGGAGTACGGAGGAGCAGAAAAGTTGGGGTATTGAATGCTGGAGGCTAAAGCTGGGGGATGACGAGAAACACATTCACGTGCCCATCCTTGTCAGCCATTTACTAAGACTTGTGAGACGTCTACTAGGTAACTTCCAGGGTTTACGGTAAGCTTCGGAGTAACATGTATCGTGTACGGAGCACCGCTATATCGACACGACATGACACATGCAATTCGAATCCCCCTTCTTTAATGCCTTGGTGTTCTCCGAGCATCTGACGCGCATCTGTACCTGCTACGCTGCACTCAATCGCAATGCTCTCCATCTCTCTCCATACTCTGCCTGCACCCCGTATTCTCTCTCTCTCGTCATCACCGGCTTGATCTTGCATACTACTACCAACACACACAACGACTCATCTCTCCTCTACTCCGTTTTACCATCTCTGATTCCTCCTCTGCTACACCTTGGCCAGGTACCTACCCATCACTACTCCCATCCTCAACATCACGACATCACGTGTTTCACTCACCCAGCTTCTCATCCTCCCCCCAACGCTTCATCAATCTACCGCCTCCCCACACAAACTCACCTCAACACTCCAGTCCGCTAAAAGCCAAACCCGAACCGCTCGGTCAATCAAGTCACCGGTGCGGCCCCGGAGCCCGGCCGCCCACACACCACACTCCCCCATGTATGTAGTCCATAATATACAAGACATCAATATCTCCCTCCAACCACCAAATCTCATAAAAAAATCACCTCGTTCTTCTCGTAAACAACAAAATAAACCCCACAATGGCAACGCAATTCATAGACGATAAATCCCCAATATGCATCCCATTTATCCTAAACCGCCTCCAGCTACACCAACAATCCAATTCCGACTCCAATTCCAACTCTCACCACCAGCCTCCTCCCCTCATCATCGGCCTCAACGGCCTCCAAGGCGTCGGCAAATCCACCCTCGTCGTGCCCCTCGCCGAAGCCCTCAACCGCGAGGGCATCCCAACCCTCGTCTGCAGCATCGACGACTTCTATCTGCCGCACGAGCAGCAGCTTGCTCTGGCGCGTGAGAATCCAGACAACGCCCTGTGGCAGGTCCGCGGGGAGCCAGGTATATACTCTCACTCACTCACTTTCACTTACACACACACACACACCCTTCCTCATACCACCTTATATACATTTTCAATCCTCACACCAGCTTCAATAAAAACAACAAAATAAAAAAAGCTCACATCCTCCCAAACAGGCACCCACGACACCTCCCTCCTCAAATCCGTCTTCTCCTCCCTCCTAACCCACGCCCCAACCTCCCTCCCCCAATACGACAAAGCCCTCTTCTCCGGCCAAGGCGACCGCCTCCCCCCCTCCACCTGGCCCCTCATCAACCAACAACAACAACCTCCCCAAAACCCTCTTCAAGTCGTCATCCTCGAAGGCTGGTGCATCGGCTTCCGCCCCATCTCCCCCGAAGCCGTCGCCGCCAAACACGCCGCCCCCAGCCGCACTCTTCGCCAGCACCGTCTGGAGCACCTCCTCGCTGTCAACGAGAAACTCGGCGAGTATGATGATGTGACGCGCTTGTTTGACGCTTTTCTTCACATCGACTCGGAGAATACCGAGTACGTCTATGATTGGCGCCTGGAACAGGAGGAGCATCTTCGTCTGACGAGGGGGGATCCCAACGCCGGCATGACCAAGGAGCAGGTCATCAGATTCGTCGACGCTTATTACCCTGCCTACGAGCTCTACTCTGAAGGGCTTCGAAAAGGCCTCTTCCCAGACAAGCCAGGGGCCCAACTGCGGATGGTGGTTGGACGTGACAGAAAGGTGAAGCAGGTGATTGAGATTTGAACATGGAAGAGAGGTAGAGAGAGGGCAGGGCTAGTTGTCTCGTTAGAACAGAAAAGTGCTTCTTTTAGCAACAGGTAGAATTCTAGATGGCGCAACATGGGCACATCTTGGCTAGACCATTCCATTTATATCCCACAAAAAAAAGAAAAGAAAAAACAATCTCATTTCATTAGATCATTACCCGCCAACGCCATGCTTTCCGTTGTGAGGCTTATAGACGCTCTAGGCCACGCCCAGCGCCGCCCCATCCCGTCCTGCCCCATCCCATCTGTCGAGCCTGCAATAATCAACATTGCACATGAATACCCACAACTCCACACTCAAAATGTCACAGCACCAGGAAGACGCAGCTTGCTTGGGGTAAAAGAACGGGCATCACTGCTGCGCAGCCTTGGCGTCGTTTGGAGTCATCAAGCGCTGGCCCTCCTGCAGCATCCGGTTCAGTTTTTTGTCAATAGCCGCCGTCTGTTCCCGGACCGCCTCCTCGCGAGAAGCTGCCTCGTCCTCAAACTCCCTCATCATTTTCCGCTTGTTACGCCGGACCACCCTCATTTTATGCATAATCTCGGAGAACTGCTCGGCAAACCAGTCGCCCGCCTCTTCCCAGTCGTCGAAATCCATGTTTGCAAACATGAGGCGCTGCTCCTTCTCGCTCTGGCGCATGCCCTGCTCTATCCTTGCGACGCGAGCCTCCACAGTACCCGCAGGAGCACCTGAACCGGCCTGCGTTGTCGCCTTGGAGGGGTCAAAGTCGAACGGTTCTTTGTCGAGATCGGCGTAGGCCATGTTGCTGAGAGCCATGTCATCGTAATCGAGGCTTCCTCGTCTGCGTTTCTTGTCTTTGGGCGCCGATGGTTTAAAAGGTGGAATGGTTGTCGTCATGAGGCGCTCCAGCGCAGCTCGATGTGGTGATAGAGGATGCCCTCTTACTCTCGGGGTGGCATGTCCATCTTCGCGGCCGCCTACGGTGGATGTGCCATCGTCTTGGTCTCCATTCTCCTCTTCGTAAGCTGCTCCCTCTTCATCCTCTACCTCTTCTAGATCCCTGAATCTAGTCATGGGACGGAAATCGTCTCCTCTGTCTCTTATCAGCCGCCCCCTGTTTGCAAAAGCAGGAGATGTACTCCTCTTTTCCCTATCGTCGAACTCAAACTGTCTCGGCATTTGCACATGTCGAACCCTGAGATCGCGCATGGGCATCGCGGTTTGTTTCTCTGGCGATGCTTCTGGTCGAGAGTAGGTTGGTCGATAGTTTCCAGGTGGTCTATTGTACCCATTGACGGCGGTTCTATTAAAACCATCGTTCATGTAGGTGGATGGGGGGTTACGATGCCCATTAGTTGGAACTACTCTCATGAGGAGGTCTTCCCCGAGCTGAAAGGCGGCGCCGTCATTTGGGAGAATTCTCCTATCAAAGTTGTAGCGGGGGGCAGGTCTGGTGATGGCGGCCGGAGCAGCGATGGAGACAGCAGGAGCAGGAGCAGTAACAATTGTATTCCGCTTATCCGGCATCGGTTCGTGGTCGGCTTCGGATGGCTCGTACTGCGGCGTTGTTAGGCCAGAATTCATAAAGCTGTCGCCTAATTGGGAGCCCGTAAATATGTCCATAGGGCGATGTTGGCTGGCTGGGGACTGCGAATGGGATCGCTGCACCGACTCGGGCGGCGGCTGGCTAAATCTCCGCTGATGTGCGCTGGGCTGGCGAGCATTGGCTCCTGGGACAGGAACCCGAGCGCTGTCTGCCAATTCCCTTCGTTCTACGGCGGACGAGAAGGCTGGCGGAGCAGAGCTCTGATAGCGCTCTGGCTCGCGAGTCTGGTGGACTGCCGCATTGCCGTTGAGGTTTCCGTTGGTGTTGACGTCGGCATTGGACTTGGCCCTGACTTCGTTGTCGGATTTGAGGCGTGCAAACATCTGCAGCCGGCTCGATCGCTCCTTCAACGAGGCCGGCATTTCGCTGGTATTTTCCTTTTGCTTCCCTCCCAACTCGAAACTGTGTTGCGGTTCAGATATTTGCGCCTGCACAAATGAATTGAAATCGCCCGTCGTGTCGAAGGATAAAAGCCTCGCACCAGTGAGGGGTAACGAAGATGTGAAGGAAGGAAATTGTTGGGCAGCCGAAAGGATCGCGAAGACGAGGAAGGAGATGGGGTTGGCGGCAGGTTGGGCTTGGGAAGCAAGGCGCGAGCGGTGACAGCACAACAACAACAACAAAAAAGAGGGCAAGAAATAATAGAACAAGATGCGAAATGCGAAGAAAAGATGTTCCGTACAAGAGAAGAGAAGAAGAAGAGGGGGGGAGTCACAGAGACTCAGAGAGTGAAAGATGAGGCTGCAATTCTTCAGCCAGCCCGAAAGAGAAGCGCCTGAAAAGACGAAGAACGAAACAAAACGCCGATGATGCCCGATCACAGCTCAGATCCAGCAGATCAAGCGCCGGCGATGCTGGTTTTGAAACACGGCGCCTAAAGGCTGTGCCGCCATGAGCTTTTGCGCGTCTGCCGGGGACAAGAACAGGCGCGCGCAGTCAGGTGACGCGGTGGTACAAGTACGAGTACGAGACACAAGGTACCAGAGTCTACCTTACCTACCTTACTACTAGGTACCTACTAAGGTAGGAATCAATTCGGAGGGCACAAGAAGTCAATGCCGTCATGAACGAGAACGATTCGAGATAAGCTCGCACGGCTTACGGAGTAGATTTGCTGCTAATACGACTCGGCCAGGTTTAGTTACGTAGGAGGGACAGGGAACCGCCCAGTTGCCGCGGCATTTGCTGGGTGCCATTATGTACTCCATGCTGCTAAATTCTGCGCTATTTGCGGGCTCCCTTCTGCTCGTGGCAACCTTGGAACTCTGGGACTTTGTATGTTCGCCAGGGCTGCAAGTACCTGTCATGCCCAGATGCTTCGTATTATACCATCCATGAATTAGAGTCAAAGGGCCCCGTGCGCAGTCTCCCTCATGTTAGTGGTCTTGCGGCAGTGCAACAGCACAGGCATACGAATCAATCTCCGCCAGAATTCGGCCCATCTTCCACCCAACAGCCTAACAAGCATGTTGCGCGGCATGTAATAGAGAATACCTGCTCGGTACTCGGAACCTGGATCGTCCCAACTACGGCACCACTAACTAAACTCGCCCCAGTTCTTAGCAGCAGCCCCAGCGCCGGCCGGCCTCTCCAGGTCTCTTTTTTGTTTTCCCTCCCTACAGTACGCAAAAGGCACAAGGCCTATAACACCTCAGTACTAGGGATGGATGGATCACTGCACGCCGGCTCAGCTGCAGGCAAGGTCTCACTCAGCTCGTCCCGGGATGTTCTTTTAAGCTCCAGCACGGCCATTGACGCAACTCCTTAGAGGCGTTTGGAGCCCTTTACAGCCCTTCTGGCGCCCTGTCGAGCCGGTTCCAGGTTCGAAAACAAACAAGGTTCAAGGCTCCCTGGCCTGCTCTCTCCACCTGCCCAGGCCTTGGCACAACTCGTGCATTGCATGGCTTTTTACCAGATTCTGCCTCGAAGCGTGTGACCATGGGCTCAGCATCTCTCCAGCCTGTCGACCCACCTCGTGCTTCCACTCTCTCTTCGAGCTTCACACCCATTCATCTCTAGCTGCGACATGCGTCCTGTATGATTGCTCCTCTTCGAGATTCTTCTCCTACTCGCAAACCCGCGTCCTTGTGACGGCTGGCCATCCTCTCCATCTCAGCATATATACCCCGAATCCGTGTTCGCGACTATCCATCGACCCTCACGCACGTTTTTCTTAGCATCCAGCCGGGGGGTGATAGACAGCCATAGAGATTGCGCGTTTCGTTCGATGGCGTCACCTCCGCCAGAACCTGGGTCGAGATTGGCATCCGGCTCTCCCTCCCCAACCTCGGCCTCGGCCTCGGCCTCATCCAGAGCAAACGCATCAGAAGCTCGCCAACGCTCAGTGAGAACAATTCCTCGTAAGGATATGCAAGCAGTCTGCTGTGCCGGCGACTCCGGCCTGAGTGACTGAGTGCTAATCTTCGTCTCTTCGACTCCATACAGCTTGGATTGCCCGTGATGGGCCCCTCACCGAAGAGCAGCTCCGGTTGCTAAATCCTCCTCAGCCTTCTGCAGCACCACAGCGCAATGGCATCCCCCAGCTGCCCCAGCGGCGGATGTCAAAAGATGGATACTCTTGGGAGGAAGACCCCAAGCTGGGCTCTCCCCAAAACGAGCGCGGCCGGATACCACACCTGTTCAAGTATGGACGAGCCTCAGCGCGAGGAAGGAAGTGGGATCATCTTCGATCCGCCGAGCCCGTAATTGTTTCCGCTCAACAGTCGGCCTATGGACAGCCGACCACCTCATGGGCAGATTTCGTACATTCGTCGGCTTGGGGGCGCCCACAGGAGAGCCATACAATCGACATTGAAGCCCTCAATCAACTCCAACCCGGTTACGGCAGACCAGGCGAGATGGCTTTGCACCTACCAGACAACAAGCACGAGCAGCGGCCCAAGGAAGTATTCTCCAAGCGCTTGTGGAACCGCTTCATGCGCAGCTCGCTCGCTCCCTTGCTGTTCCGATTGACTGTGATAATCATGTCCATGATAGCCCTAGGGATTGCCGCAAGGATGTTTGATCTCGAGGACAGGGCGCTTGGCGAGAGCGCTGAGCGAACACAGTCCATCTTTGCCATTGCGGTGGACTCGGTAGCCATTCCTTTCAACGGGTACATGATATGGGATGAGTACACGGGGAAGCCCCTCGGCCTGCGCTCAGCACGTTCGAAAATGTCTCTCATCCTGCTCGATCTATTCTTCATCATATTCAAATCAGCAGGCACCGCTCTGGCCTTTGAGCACGTCGTCTACCACACCTTTGGCGACCACATCGTACGGGGGCTGGCCAAAGCTCTCGCATCCTTTATGCTCCTTGGCCTTCTCGCATGGACCGCAAATCTCTGTGTCAACATCTTCCGGGTGGTAGAGAAGTTGGGGGGTGGCGATGAGCAGCGCATGTGACAGGGTCAGGAATAGGAAAAGCACAAACAGCGTGATTTTAATTTTTAATTTTTAATTTCTTTGAGCGTTTGTCAGGTCAGGAGATACATACGGCATCAATCGGCGGGCTTACGAAACTTTACGATTTGAACGAAGACCATGAATGGTTCCAGCTGTCAGTTTGAAAGGCTAGAGCAGCGCCACGGTACTGTATATATACCTTGAGCGTAGTATTATATATCTATACATGTACATACGAAAACATGAAGGAAGGAAATAAAGAAACAAGGAAAGTAAAAGAAACCACAAGACCCATCTTGTTTAGGCAGCATGAAGCCGAATGCCGTGTGAATCATGATGAGTCTAACTAATGTTGGCGAGCTCCTATTCTGTACACTCGACTGCAAAGGGTCGATAGATCGGGGAGAGCTGCCTGCTGGAAGGTTTAGCAGCTTAGTGCTAGCCTGCCTAGGTACTAAGGTAGCCGCCTAGCCGCAGTTATCACGGGGAGGCAAGTACCTACAGCTGCAGAGAGCAATCCGATTGATCCATTGATGGATTCTTCCAATATGTGCTGCATTATTCACGCTTGGTCTTTGGACAGATGGAAGTCCGGATTGGCCATGCAAAAAGCCGTAGACACCCGACTAGAGCCCTGAATTATAAACACGATGCAGCTGAAATCACTGAAACGCGTCCCATCTGTCATGTTCTGCCACATGGAAGTCTTACTAAGTGTACCAAGTGCATGCGAGAGTACCTGGTAATAAGCCAAAAGGCGGTTGAGCTGGGCAGAAAGCCGCGCTATGCCCCTTGTGGCTGCAGGCCTGCCTTGCCAAGGAGCCTTGCCTCAGCAACTCGAGCTTTGGGTTTGACTGCCTGATCCCTCATCATTACGTCTGTTTGTCGACTCCTCAGCCTCCCTTGGTCTTCCTCTTCACCCTCTCCGACTTTTCTTCTTCTTCTCTCTCTCTTCTTGCATCTCTTCGCAGCGAACCGGCCGAGGGACTCCTACTCTCCTCCCTCCCCCATTTGCTCGCGTCGAGCTTCAACTGGCCGGTGGTTTTGCTTCTAATCGAGCGACCCACTGCCCGTCCGGCTGGTGCGTGAGCATCACCGCTGACCTCCGCTGCCTGAGCTGAAAGGCTCTCTCCAAGGCTTCCTGCAACGCCGGTGCAACGCATCAACCACGGCGTCTCCCTCGGTCCTCGCCGACGCAGCTCTCGTCCGCCTCTTCCGCCGCCGTAATCCCGAGCCAGCAGAGGCGATCCGGCCGCTGCGTGCATCGTCGGCCAATCCACCCACGCGAGCCGCAGGAGCATCACGCTTCACCCCGCCTTGCCGCTTCTCGACAGGGCTCGATCCACACGCTCCATGATGGTGGCCAGAATGGGAATGCCTGCGGTTCCAAACCGCGAGGACATCAAAGCAACGTGAGTCGTCGCCCCCCCGGTGCAATCATGGCACCGTCGCCGGCGTGACATGACATTAACTGGTCCCTGCAGATGGAAGTACCTGGAGGATGGCATCACCCGCATCATGAACGACCTCGAACAGGGCATGGATATGCAGATGTACATGGGAGTCTACACGTATGTTGTGTCTTTTCCCGTCCTCACACGTCCACGCCCGAATGCTCACACGGTCACAGCGCCGTCCACAACTTCTGTACCTCGCAGAAAGCCGTTGGCCTCAGTGGCCCAACCATGACCACGAGTCATCGCGGAGGTTCGTTTGACATTTGCATCTCTCCCCTCACCAAATCAAACGCTCGCTAACTCATATCCCGCTCTTGTCGGTTAAACAGCTCACTTGTTGGGTGAAGATCTCTACAACCACTTGATTAAATACCTCCAGCGTCATTTAGCGGACCTCGTCCAGGCATCCAAATCCCACACAGACGAGGCCTTGCTAGCCTACTACATCAAAGAATGGAATCGATACACCGTCGCTGCCAAATACATTCATCACCTGTTTCAGTATCTTAATAGGCACTGGGTCAAGCGAGAAATCGACGAAGGCAAGAAGAACATCTACGATGTCTATACTCTACACCTTGTCCAATGGCGCAAAGTGCTGTTCGAGCAGGTCTCGGAAAAGGTCATGGACGCCGTTCTAAAGCTTGTTGAAAAACAGAGAAACGGCGAGACCATCGAGTACGGCCAAATCAAACAGGTCGTCGACTCGTTTGTGTCCCTTGGCCTCGACGAAGCCGATCCATCCAAGTCGACGCTGGACGTGTATAGATATCATTTTGAGCGCCCCTTCTTGGCAGCGACCAAGGAATTCTACCAGGCCGAGTCCAAACAGTTTGTCGCGGAAAACACTGTCGTCGAGTATATGAAAAAGGCGGAGGCGCGACTAGCAGAAGAAGAAGAGCGCGTCAACATGTACCTGCACCAGGACATTGCGCTCCCTCTCAAGAGATGCTGCAACCAGGCTCTTATTGCCGATCATTCCTTGTCTCTAAGAGAAGAATTCCAGGTCCTCCTGGATAACGATCGTGAGGAGGACATGGCCAGAATGTACAATCTTCTATCTCGCATCCCCGACGGTCTAGATCCGTTGCGCACCAGATTCGAAACCCATGTCCGGAAAGCCGGCTTGGCCGCCGTCCAAAAAGTCCAGTCGTCTGAGGGCGACAAGCTGGAGCCCAAGGTCTACGTCGACGCCTTACTAGAGATACACACCCAGTACCAGGGCTTGGTGAAGAGAGCCTTTACCGATGAACCCGAATTCACGCGGTCTTTGGACAACGCCTGCCGCGAGTTTGTCAACCGAAACGAAGTGTGCAAGTCCGGGTCCAACAAGTCACCCGAGCTGTTGGCCAAGTACACAGACGTCCTCTTGCGCAAGAGCACCACGAGCATCGAGGAGGCCGATCTGGAGAGAACCCTGTCTCAGATCATGACCGTCTTCAAATACATCGAGGACAAGGACGTTTTCCAAAAGTTCTACTCCCGCATGTTGGCCAGGAGATTGGTGCATAGCAACTCGTCCTCGGACGATGCTGAGACTAGCATGATTAGCAAGCTAAAGGAAGCCTGTGGGTTTGAATACACCAACAAGCTGCAGCGCATGTTCCAAGATATGCAGATCTCAAAGGATCTTAACAAGGAGTTCCGGGATCACTTAGAGACTGTCGGTAATGCCAAGGCTGTCGATTCCACGTTTTCCATCCTGGGCACGGGTTTCTGGCCATTGACACCACCAAGCACCCATTTCGACCCGCCCCCGGAGATTTCCGCCGAGATTGAGCGATTCGTCCGATTCTACAAGCACAAGCATGATGGCCGCAAGCTCACCTGGCTGTGGCACCTGTGCAAGGGCGAGATCAAGGCCGGCTATTGCAAGAACAGCAAGACGCCCTACACTTTCCAGGTTTCAATCTACCAAATGTCCATCCTCCTCTTGTTCAACGAGAAGGATAGCTACTCCTACGATGACATCTCCAGCGCCACCCAGCTGAGCTCCGAGGTGCTCGACCAAGCCCTGGCCGTAATTCTCAAGGCAAAGGTGCTGCTGATGGATGGCGGCGATAAGCCCGGACCGGGCAAGACTTTCCGCCTCAACTACGATTTCAAGAGCAAGAAGATCAGGGTCAACCTCAACCTCGGCGGTGTCAAGGAGGCGAAGCAGGAGGAAGTCGAGACGAACAAGACCATAGAAGAGGACCGCAAGCTGGTGTTGCAGGTATGATTTGAATCCACACCCGAGTCCCAAAGAACCAACAGCCGTAGCGATGCTAACATTTCATCCCACAGTCCGCAATTGTTCGTATTATGAAGGCGCGAAAGAAGATGAAGCACACGCAGCTTGTGAGCGAGACCATTAACCAGATCCGCTCTCGGTTCGTCCCCAAGGTTGGCGACATTAAAAAGTGCATAGAAATTCTCCTGGACAAGGAGTATCTGGAGCGTCTGGACGATGATGAATTGGGCTACTTAGCATAAAATATTTCTTCTTTAACCTCCGGTAGAATTCACGGAGCTTGTCAACGATTATTCCTCTTTCCCCCCCCCTTTCCCCCTCGATACAGGCATGTCTATCCACACCTTTTTTCATCACTCAGTCGGTCATTCATGCGTAGATTTAGGTCATATTGGGAATGGGATCAGCTGGAGTGGGCATGGTTGGTTGGGTTGCTTTTTGTTTTTGTTTTTGTGTTTCTTTTTTATTTTTTTTTTCCTTTGAAAACTCTTTGCTTACATGCTTGATTTTTTTCATAATTGGCGAATCATGCCCTAGCTAAACAGAGCATTATGCGGCCCCCAGCAGATTTCTAAGCATACACGACTTTGTTTGACGAACCGAAATGCCTCTCCTGACTGTGCGAGGTTTTCCATGTGTTTTTTGACGTGTCTTGCTCTTCTTCTTCCTTTTTTATGGTTGTTGTTTGTGGGGGGCTTTGGGTTCTTGGGGGTACATCATTTTGCGTGGTGGGATTGCTGTGTTTTTGGGGAGGACTTGGAAAGGGGTAGGATGGGCAGTCAAAATAAACGGATGTGAGTATTCCCATCGTGAAGCGTAAACTCAACAAGGTAGGCAAGGATCAAGTATTCAATAAACTGTCAAAAATCATCAAAACAGAAAAAAAAAAAAAGAAGGAGCTAAATATATGCATCAAATGGTTTTATATAAAAAACTTTCAAATCCCATTCTCTCCTTTTGTTTCCAAAAAAAAAAAGTCATCAAGTCCCATTACCGCCTACAAAGCAAATAAGCCTCCCTTGTGGTTTCTTCATCTTTTGATTTTGACATTGCTTCGTACCTTGTGCGTGTTGTGTGCGTCTTCTCCTCGATCTTTGTGTTTTTCTTATTTTCCTGGCGCAGCACATCTTGATTTTCCATCCATTTGCTCGCCAATGTCCTGTTTCCCTTGAATCATTTGCATCCCATGTACATCTCCATCTTTGCGTCTCTATTTGTCCAAAGTCATGATTTCTCTTCAAAACTCTCATGTATGTAAAAAATAATCTGGATACCACTCAATCAGCTCTTTTGGTCCCGCCATTGCCAAC